GCAGTCAAACCTTTGCTCCTTGCAAAACACAGTATTTAATCTCTCTTTCCGAGCTCTAAGCACTGTCATATTAGGGATTACCCAATGAGGCTTTTGGTGGTAGCTCACTAACTGTGCCACTGAAAGCCACCAGCCTGATTTCCTTTCGTTCAGAACAATTACAGAGTTCATTGTGACAGTAAAATAACACGAGAGTGTCTTTCACTTATCATTGTTTCCCTGTAAACTGGCCACTTCATCCCCAGTTTATACAGTCTTTAATTGCTTTTGAAATGTGTTTAGTGCTCTGTGCTAAGTTAATATACTCACCGGTTTTATTTTGATACTGTGAGACACCGCTGTGCGTGACTAGCTGCCACAAAATACACAGTGGCTACACTTTACAATATACAGTACATCCTGTGAAGCGCTTTGAGACGTCTCAATGACGTGATAAGGCGCTATATCAAATAATAATATTGATTATTAATAATTACATCATTATGGAATATAGTACATAAGCAGGAGGGACATATGTGCATGCAATCACTAGGAAGGTGGAGGGCAAACTAGATGGACCTTGGTCTTTTCTCGTCGAGCATTTCTTATGTTCTTATGTTCTTATAACTATTATAACCCTGCAAGCCAAAGCCCTGACTGATTGGGTGGCCCAACCAGTGTTCACAATTTTCAGCTGATTAAACTCCAGCAAAGTGTGCTTTAACTCTCTGGATGAGGTAAGCAGGGTGCATCACCCTGGGGGGGGAGGGTGGTGGGGGAAGGGAGAGTTGTGTGCTCCATACCAGACCGACCAAAATTCCCCTATGGCTGTGGAATTCTCCGCAGTTTGGTTTGGAGGCTCTTAATCACGGTGATGGGTTTCCGCGTGCGTCAGACACCTTGTTGGCCAGACTCAAAATGCCTTGGTGGCAATTTTATAATAGCAAATTATTGAGTAAACCTTTTGTATTTTACAAGGGTTTTCCAATTACTGTTACAATTGGGCTGCTCACAGCCGTCTCCAGGGGTGTTTGGAAATTGGTTTGACATCTTCTTAAAAAAAAGATAAAAGATCTCTGCACACAAAGTGTTCAGTAAAGATCTTTCTTATTACTTGGAGTAGCAACAATGAATGCAATTAACTTTGCACCTGGCACCACATTCTCTTCAACTTTATGAAACACACGACCACAGTATTTAAAACGAGAACGTCAGTCAATTCTGCATTCGATGCAGCCCCTTTCACGTCAGGAGGACGCCTAACTGCGCATCGCAGGATTACGCTGTAAGCTGTAGTGACTGCATGTTTTCTAGGCGAAAGCATGAGAAACGCTTTAAGGAATTCCCGCAAGATTTCATTTCAACATTTTCCGGTGACTGGCACTTTGGGGCCCACATGGGGTCATTTGCAAATCACACTGGATTCTAGAAGCGAGGAATGTGCTTCAGAAATAATAATAATAATAATCCTTGCATTTGCTATAGTGCCTTATCACGCCAGAAGGATTTACGGCAGAATGAAGCGACTGTGTATTTGTCGGCAAATGCGGCAGCACAATTACACACAGTAATGTCCCACAAACAGCTGTGAGACGAGTGATCAGGTTTATTAGGGGGATTGTCGGTCAGGACTCTGGGATAGAGAAAACTCTCTTCCCTTTTCAAATAGCGCCTTGGGATCTTTAACATCCACCTGAACAGTTAGATGGGGCCTCGGTTTAACATCTCATCCGAACGACGGCACCTCCGACAGTGCCACACATCCCCAGCACTGCATTGCAGTGTCATCTTAAGATTATGTGAGCTCAAATTCTGATGTGAGATTTGAACCCACAACGTTCTGGCTCAGAGGCGAGAGTGCTACTACTGAGCCAAAAGGAACCCAATGGAAAGCTCATTCAATGAGTATGTGCTCAATATGCGGCTGGAAGCACATTTCACTGCAAACAAACTTGGGGTTGTGCCAGATGTCAGCGAGGCCAAGCGAGGTGATGTGATCGGCAATGATATTGTAAGGCAGAAATTGACCAAAGCAATAAACAAACAGGTTCTGTGACTCACTTTCCACTCACAAGTTACACGTTTCTCTCCCCAACCTGACACCACTGTGTCAGCTGAATTATTTAGTGTGACTGAGATCACAGGTGCTTCGAGAATTTAACAGAAGTCACGACAGAAATGTACCTTAAGACATTTTAATCTAAATTTCCCTGCTTTATAATGCGAATAACTTGGAATTTATAAAGCGCATCTCGCATTATATTGAGAAAAACATAGGCAATCATCTTGCATTTCTTTACGAAATATGATTGATTGGAACTGAAGTGAATGATGTTATACTTGGAAACATAGCAGCTAATCAGTGCCAATGAGGTTCTACGAACAGCAATGAAATGAGCGCTGGACTGATTTCGATTTGGGTGTGGAGAAAAGGGGAGTGGGGGGGAATATAGAATCCAGAATAAATCAAGAGAAAGACTCCACGGTTCTTTGAAAGACCAATGGTCCCTTTACGTCCGAATTGCTTTCTCGACCACAAAATACACAGTCAATCCACTTTACAGTATATTCTGTGAAACGCTTTGAGACTTCTCAAATGCAAGGACTATTATTATTATGAATTTCCTGTTACAGTTCGGAACGTAACCACAGAATCTGCACAATTAAAGTAGCAATAAAGAGAGTTTTTTTTAGTTAATGCTGGTTAAAAAGAAATAGGTTTAACAGACAAAAATCAGCAGAGTGCTGTGATGAGTCTTGAGATGAGATCTCTACCTTTGGAGTATTAGTCATTCTTAGTAACTGGACACACATCATTCATTTAACATTAAGATGGGATCTGATTGCAGTGCTCTTTTGAGGATGAGCAAGATGCAGGTGAATTTCAGCTTACCGCAAAAAAATAAGTCACACACACACACCGAAAAATAAAAGCACTGGCAGACAAAGACAGGCAAGGAGCAGAGAAAGTGAGAAGAGAATTTACGATTGAACGCAAAATAGAAATAAAGGAAACGACAGGAAAATAAAAGGAGAAATGAATGTCTAATTTGCTGACACACGCAGAGTGCATCATCCACTGATAAAATCAGGTTACTTCAGTCAGTGTAGTAACCTGACGCACTCACACCTTATAGTCTGGTCATTTGCAAACCACTCACTTGGTTGCCCTCCTGTATGATGCTCACTGAAAGCTTTGCTGTTTTTAATGCCGCAGTTTTTGGAGCTGGAGGGGTTGGGTGAGGTGGGGGGGGCGGTTGCAAGTTACAAAGAATAAAGAAACGAGTGGGGGGCGGGGGGGGTGAGAGGGCGTGTTTTGTTCCAAGGCAAAGTGACACGTCTTGTACATTGAAATGACATTTCCAGAGAGAGAGAGAAAGAGAGAGAGAGAAAGCTGAGAGCTTGCTTTGCTCTGGCAGTTTATTCTGACAGCTAAATCCTTGCTCTCTAACAAACACACGCCCCAAGTCATTGAAGTGGGGGGTGGGGGGGCTGCTGTAATAAAACACCATGAAGATAAATAAATGATTTTCAGGCGGGGAGAAGGGAGAGGGTTTAAAGGGGGAAGGTTGCAGGCAAATCTTCTTTTCATTCTAGTCGGAAAATGGCACTGGGCGATATCGAATGCTGCTGTACAACACAGAGGGCTGAGGGGAGTGAAGATTCTTAAGCATATTGTAAATACATGGGTTTCCGCATGTGTCAGACTCCCGGCTGACAAAAAATAAACAGTGAGTTTTGCCATGTTATAACACAGTTTGGCTCAGCATTGATGGTTTGGGGTTACGTTTCTCTAGACAGTTTTGCAGGGTAGATAGTCACTGAGACAGCCCCTGGACAGGGCGAGGATGGAGGGTAGATGTCTGTCTGTCTATCTGTATGTCTCCATACCAGCTAACAGAACAAGGTCTGGTTGACTGGCTGCCCATCAGCTAACAGTGAGAGAGAGACAGACAAAGAGACAAGACGGACAGACAGACAGACAGAGAGTAAATTCACTCAGCTGCTAACCCTCATCCCTTGTCACTAACCTCTGCTGAATTCAATTGTAAAAAGAGCCTGCAGGACAGAGTGAGTGAGTGAGTGAGCACACAGTATGTGTGTAAAATGTTTCCACATAACCTAATGTCAAAAGTTGACATCTGTCTCTCTCTCTCTCTGTCTCACTCTTTGTCTCTCTCAGGAACCTGGTATAGGTTTCGTCCACAAGTCTACAGTCAATTCACTTGACAGTAGATTCTGTAAAGCACTTTGAGACGTCTCGAAGACGTGGAAAGCGCTATACTAAATGCATTATAAACAATGCCCAGTAAACAGCTTTTAAAAAAGTTGCAGCAAAGCCTGAATATTCAAACATTTCACATAAGATCTGAGGTTTTTTACTCAGTGATTTTATCTTGATTTAATTTTTTTTAAAATTTTTTTAAATTTTCATTTCATTTTTTAGAAAAACTAACAAGGTGACACCCGTTTGGGGCGAGGGGACGGTTTGATTTAAGGCAATCTCTTAAAGTGAAACGCTAAAAAAAAACTCTCTCTGCCTCCGTTTCTCTCTGAATCTCAGGTGACACCAAAATGTGGCCAAAGCAGAGTGAGTGAAGCAGATTTTAACGCTAAAGCATTAATAAAAAACCTCACAAACAAACAAAAAAACACCACTTTAAGCCTCCGCTGCCCGTCTGTAGGGCGTGTGAGAGCGGCTGAAATTACAGCAAACACTTAAAGGAGAAGTTTGCTTCAAACCGTTTCACCCGCTCAAAATACACAGTCAATCCACTTTGCCGTGTATTCTGTGAAACGCGTTGAGGCGTCTCGGAGACGTGATAAGGCTCTGTATCAAATGCAAGGATTATTATCATTAAATCCAGCTTCTCACAGGTACCACACACCTTTTTTTTCTCCGCTCTCAGCATCAGTGGGGTTAAGAGGGAGAGACGGGTGTGTGGACAGCTTCTTGTACCTGTAACCTTACAGCCTCTCTCTCTCTCTCCATCCTCTCCTCAGCTCAGCTCTGTGCTTACCTTGACAGCAGACTTGCGGAGACAGCAGGCTGATCCACAGCAGAAAGTTTAGCATCCCAGTGGTGATGAGGGAAAGCCGAGAGGATAGCATTCCGTGCGAGAGAGACAGACCGACTCACGGCTATGCTCAAGCAAGGCTCGGCTGTCTTGAGACAAGTGTCTCCTCTGCTCTGGTCCTCTCTCTATCTCTCTCTCTACGCTCTGGGAAAGCGATGCGATGTGATGTGAGTTGTGGGGAGATCAGATTGTCCTGCCCATCTCAGCAGGAACCCAGGCTGCACAAGTCATCCCCTCTGCCTCTTTCCGAGCCTCTCAGAGAAGCACAGATATGAATGCATAGCCTCCTTTCCCCCGCCCACCCCTCTCCTCTCCCTGTGTCTTGCAGCAAGGAGAGGATGATAAGCCCAGTTATAAGCAGCCTTGAGTCAGTCGCTGATGTTTCTTTCGATGCTCCCAGCAGGAGAGAGCATGCTGTCAAAGATGCTCCTCACATACACACACACACCACACAGGGGCTGTTTCTATTCATCACCAGGCTTTAACTGAGGAGGGGGTGGAGTGGGGGACGGGGGAAGGTGCCGGCAAAAACACGACACAGATCTGCAGGATTGCCTTGTGCGCTCTCTCTCTCTCTCTCTCTCTCTCCGTCTCTCTGGCATTGACAGCAATGTGCAGACAGTACAGTTACAGTACAGCACCTCACCCTCCTCTCTGCTGTCACTGTGATCATCATCCTAATAATCAGCCTTACATTTGATATAGAGCCTTATCACCCGGTTGAGACGTCTCAAAGCGCTTCACAGGAAGTACTGTAAAGGGCATTGACTGTGTTATTTTATGGGCGAAACGCAGCAGCCAATCTCGCACAGCAGTGTCCCACAAACAGTCGTGGATTATTTGAGAGATTATTATTATCCCCGGTAAGCAATCTGCCATTCAACTAACAAGCAGGTTCCTTACTTACTGCTGGGTAAACAGGGGAGTGTGGAGTAAGGTAATGTGCCTAAGGTTTTGCCCCGCCTCGAAATCGAACCAAGATCTTCTTGCTTGCGAGGCAAAGTGCTAACCACTACTCTACAGGACTTTGAATAAATTATAGAGTTATATAATGTTATACAGTTTGTCCCCCTGCCCTGCTTTAACTAACTAACTAACTAACTAACTAACTAACTAACTAACTAACTAACTAACTAACTGTTGAAATTACAATTAGCATCTTGCAAGTTATCCTTAGTATTATTATTGCATTATTACAGTTTGAAAAATTCTGCGTTCAATTGGAGATCAATATATTTCCTGATTTTCTTTAATTCCTTATTTACTTATGCTGTAATCACTTGGGAACGTGATATCAATAATCCTGCGTGTACAATCTATAATGTAGCATATTATTAATATTCATAAATTTACCAAGTGAATATGTTTAGCTTATTACTATCAGGATGTAAGCACGGGAAGGGCTTTGAGACGTCTCAAACGCAAGGATAATGATTATTATTATGAGCAGTTTGCCAATAAGATTATTTACCTTTCTTTTTCTTTCCACCCCTCGCACCACCCGCCCTCCCACCGCGCCCCCCCCCCCCCCCCACCTCATGCTGTTATGGAACACACAACGACAGACGGGGGGTGGGGTGGGGTTGGGGGAGGGGGGACGGGCACGGGAGGGCAATTAAGATCACTATCAATGATTCTTCTTCTCCGGGAAGTTCAAAAGGAATGGGTGATGCGATGTGGACGGAGTGAGAGGATTTGATTTGTGCTGAAATTTGCCTAATTCCCGCACTGCAGAGGGCGATTTGCTTCACTGGGTAGAACACACGTGTAAGGCACTGTACCAAAGGATTATTATTATTACTATTATTGTTATTATTATTATAATCCTCACATGGTTAGAGATTCCCCCTTTGCTCCATTACTGGAGTCGTTGTAACCCGTGACCATGATATTAACAGAGGGAACAAATCGTGAGTTGGGTCCTTAAAAATAGTAATAATAATAATAATAAATAATAATAATAATAATACTTGCATTTTATACAGCGCCTTATCACGTCGTTGACAAAGAGCTTCATAGAATATATTGTAAATAATATAATAATAAACCTTGCATTTGCTATGGCACCTTCTCACGTGTCTTCGAGACGTCTCAAAGCGCTCCACAGAATACTGTAAAGAGCAGTGACTGTATATTTTGTGGAGAAACCCGGCTGTCAATTGCACACAGCAGCGTCCCACAAACAGTGGTGGATTGAGTGACTTAAGTAAATTTTTTTAAGGTAACATTACCCCCGGAAAGCGATCCACCAATCGGCTAACAACTGAGTTCCTACTTACTATCTGTTTAGCCCACAAGATATATAGTCAATTCACTTCACCCTCTACCATCCTACTCGCTCCCTCCTCTCAGCGGGCTCCTGCTGCTTCACGTCCCCCACCTCGCTCGCCCCACTATTGGCGGGTGGGCCTTCTGCCACTCTGCCCACCCTCCGGAACTCCATCTTGCAGCCGCTCCGCCTCGCCCCCTCCCTCGCCTCCTTCAAGACCCATCTCAAGACCCTCCTTTTCGACCGTGCATTCGATCTCCCTACTGCCCTCCACCCTCCCCGAACCCAACCCCCAGTTTGGGTCCGAAACTCTGTCTGTCCAGCGCCTTGGGACATCCTCCCGACATGAAAGGCGCTATATAAACGCAATTTTGTTGTTTTTATTGTTTACAGTATATTCTGTGAAGTGCTTTGAGACGTCTCGAAGACGTAATAAGGCACTATATCAAATACAAGGATTATTATTGTTATTACTGCTAGGTAAACAGAGGCGTGTGGAGTAAGGAAACTTGCCCACGGTTTCGCCCTACCCGGGAATTGAACCCGGGTCCTCTTGCTTGCGAGGCGAGCGCGCTAACCACTACGCTACGAGACTCCCCGTTTGCCAACTCTTTACACATATTCTTTACAGAAAATGCGGCTGTAATAAATGCACACGGTGTTAGGGAGCAAAAGGAAATTGATCCCAATTGAATATACATCTTAGTCAATTTATTTTGCCAATTACAGCTATTTAAAAGGCTTTAAATTTTTCATTGCAAGGGACGTCACTGTTATAATTTTCCAAGACACAAATAGTCTTTATCACATATAGATCTTCATACTGTGAAAGTTAGCCCAATTATTCGGGAGTTATGGTGAGTAAACCCAGATGGAGTTTTTCTCTCAGTCCCTATCTCTCTCTGCAAACGTTATTCCCCATCCCCCAATCTACCACGAAAGAGTGCTTGTTGACACAGTCACAAGAACTGAGGCATTCAGTCATTTAAATGCTTTTCAAATGCTTCTAATTTGATTACATTTTGTGCGTGTCTGCAGATAATTAAACAGGTAATTCCTTGTGAATGCGGTGCGTTTAATATAAGTCGGTGCTGATGTGCATAGCAAAGAGGCAGTAAATTATTCATATGAAATGACACAATAAAACAGAAAGTGTCCCGGGGCAAACACCTGATAAATTGCGATCCTCAATTAATGGGCTAAAAATTAGGATTAGAATCACAGTATGTGTGAAAATGGAACCCACCGGCATTTGAGAACGTACTGAATACAATTAGAGAGACTGTTTCTGGATCATATTACACAAACGATTAAGCCATAAGCAATCCACAAACTGACATGTACGTGTTGTGGGAAATAAACAAAAGCTCACTGACTGATTCGCTTGCAAGGAGTGGTTTCAGTTTTATCTTGGCTGCCAGTTATCTTCCTTTCCATTAGTTTAGTTTGTCCAAAATCTTTCATTTCTTTCAGACCAATTAGCCTCGCCGCTGCGTTTGCAAAACTAATGGAATCTTTTAAGAACTCCAGAAAGCCGTCTACAGATAAAACTCTTCCTCAATCCCTCCGCCTTGCCTACTCCTTCCCCATTTTCAGGTTGTGTCTGAAGACCTTCCTCTTCAACCGTGCCTACAGTGCCGACAAGCGAGACACCTGGGTTCAGTTCCAGGCAGAGGGCGAAACCTTGGGCAAGTTTCCTTACTCCACACAGAGCCTAATAATAATCTCTCCAAAACAAAACAATAATAAATTGGTCATTTTCAATCCATGACTGTTTGTGGGACACTGCTGTGCGCAATTGGCTGCCGCGTTTCGCCCACAAATACACAGTCAATTCACTTTACAGTCTATTCTGTGAAGCGCTTTGAGAGGTTGAGAAGATGTGAAAAGCGCAATATCAAATGCAAGGATTATTATTATATATTATTATATTTTTATATATTATTATATTATTATTATATTATTATTACAGTCACCTCCCCTCTCCCCCCAGCTCGGAATCGGGCTCTGCCACTGTCGAGCGCTCTGGGACTCTACCTTGCGTGAGGGACGCTATACAAATGCAAGTTGTTGTTGTCTTCAAAGTTAAGACTGAATTCAACAATCTGCCAAAGGCTGGGGTGCCGTGATATATTACGTTAGAATAAATCTAGCCCCAGGTGGAATCTATATATACAGTACAGTACTTTCACCCCCAAAACACTCACAGTCACACACCCCGCTTTACAGTGGATCCTGTGAAGCGCTTTGGGACACCTGCTGACGTGAAATCCAAATGGATTATTATTGTTATTACTTTAAGCACTGCTGTCAGCCCAATGTGGGGAGCTTGAACCTCACAAACCTTCTGACCCAGAGGAGAGAGTGCGACCAACTGAGCTGGGCTGTGACCTTGCCTCCTTCAAGGCACCTCTCAAGAGCCCCCTCTTCGATTCCCGGGTAGGGCCACCTCCCCCCCCGCTCAGAGTCGGGCTCAGCCACTGTTAAGCGTTCTGAGACGCTACCCGGCATGGAGAGCGCTATATAAGTGCAAGTTGTTGTTGTTGTACCATCCCTGCCCTCCACCCCTCCTGATCCCAACCTCCTGCTCAGGTCCAAATCCCTGACTTGGAACGTCCTCCCAATGTGAAGGACGCTATACAAATATATTTTGTTGTTGTTGTGATGCCATCACTTCCCACTGTATCACATCCCCCCACCCACGTCACAAATCTTTACGCATCTCACCCACAAAGCCGTGTGTATTCACATTAAAAGGGTTTCAC